AAAGCAATGGGAATAATGGGAGAGGGGCGAGCTGGGGATCCCCACAGAGTTTTTGTTTATCCTCTAGGTGCTCTTCAGTCAGAACCTGGCCCCAGTCCATTTCCTCATGTTAGAACATGGTAGTTTCTGAAATCCTCCCTTTGTTCTTGAGAAACGGTGTCTCTGATGGTCTGACTTTATTCTTTGTTTGTCTTGCTGTTATAGTATCTCTTATTTCATGAGATCTTACCCTTGAGTTGTCGTAGGTAACTCTTATGGGTAGTTTGACTTTGTTTTTTAATTACCATGTTCAGGATGGATTTTTGAAAATTTCTTAACATGAGCTAAATCAGGAATAAAAGAGTTACAACATTTTAAAGCTTTTTGTGTAGCAAATGGAATGTTTTATGAATAGCAGTTGCCTGGGGTTGGTTTTAAACATGTAAAGTTATAATCATTTTTTTTTGAAGAATTAAAATCACATAAAATAATTAAAACTATATAACCTCATTTAGTTATACAATAATATCAAGCAGTTACGGAGCACTTACTTTTTGTCAGATTATGTTCTAATCTAAAATACAAATCATTTAATCCTTAAGACAATCCTATGAGATTTGGAAAATTGCTATAGCATCTAATAGTCATTGACAGTATAGTGGGATACAGAATTACTTATTTTTTCTTTGACTTTTTTTTTCTGTAGAAACTGTCAAACATATAAAAAAAAACAACAACAGAAAACATAGCAGTATGTTATAACAATGGATCTCCATGTATCCATTACCCAATCCCAATACTTATCAACATTCTGCCATATTATTATCCCTGTTTTACAGATAGGAAAGGGAGGTACAGAGAAGTTAAGTAATTTGCCCAAGGTCACACAGCTAGTAGGTGGTGGAGTGGAGTCTTAAATCCAGGCAGCCCAGGGCCCATGCTCTCAACTACTGCAATGCATTGCTCTTCACTAATTTAAAATTTATAGTTATTAGGATGGGAATTGAATTTTAGTTACTTTTATACTGTCTCCGAAATACAGGTTTATCAAATATTAAAAATTAATGCTATCAACAAAACTGTAAGGTTTACTATTTACAACATAACCTTAAGACTAAGAGCTGATTTTCTCATTGCAAATTATTTATATATGCTCATTGGAAAAAAACCTGAAGGACTTTTTTTTTTGGCAATAATTTTTCACTTAATTTGTTACTAATGTGGTTACATATGGAAGCAATAAAATTATATATCTTGAAAATCTTGAGATCAATTTAAAAAAAAATGAAACCATTGTAGCTTTTTTTTTTTGAATATTGCTGAAACACAGTACAGCAATTAGCCACATTAATATGGGTAGCTGACATTTATTTGAAAGCACTTTTAAAGAGTTCTTTTTTCCAGTGGATCTAAAGTCCATTATTTGCAGTGACTCTCGTTGAGGTTAGTAAGGAGTGGTGGTCTCGTGAGTCTGTGTAATCTTCTGGTTTGTCAGTGTATGTTTACTTCTAGGTCCTATTATCTTTCAGCGTCTTTTGACAAGTAGAGGCTACAGATGTTCCAAAGAGTTGTAATGAAAAGGACTTTGGGCCAATTTTATAAATAGCTGCAATGAGTAACCCAGCGAATCTACATGGCAGGTTATGCGTGACAGGTCTAGAGAAAAGATGGATTCTCCCTTCTTACTGTTATAGTACTTTTTTGTATAGTCATGCCCCCACCCACAACAAGACTTACTGTCTCAGTGTAATCGTTACCTAATTGACAGGATGATGACACAGTCTAGGCAAGTTTTCCAAAGTGTGGGGTAAATTCTTCTGGCGACTGTCAATCTTGGAGATGGTACCCCAACCTAACGGTAGATGACATTGAATTACATAGTAAAGGAGGGATTTTCTTTTCACTTTTCTTTTGACCTTTCTGCTGCTTCAAGGAGAAAGTCAGTTTGGTACCACTGCATCTTTAGCATCTTTAGAATCTTTAGCATCTTTCGAATCCTTCAGAATCTCCCTTTATGACAAAGAGGAGGTATTGTAGATGCTCAGCTTTGATAGGCAACTTTATTTAGTCAGAATGTAGTTTCATCATTTTTTTTCATTGTTTTAGTATGTATAATTTCTAGTTTTGACAGGGAATCCTGACTTTCTGTTTACAGTGGGATCAGATATTTCTTTGAAAATTAGTTTAAAAGAAAAAAGGCGAGTCAACCTAAGGACAAGTACTAGAGAATGTAGTAATACAGGTGATGTGTAGATATGGAAAAATTATGAATTTGGTAGAGGAACGACAAAATCTTGGGAAATATTGGACTAATATCTGCCGTGGTTAATTTTGTGGAGATCCACAGTCTCTTCTTTGGGCCAGATTTGTTTTGGAATTCAGAATGTTCAGATCTTTTTGGCATAGTGCTTATGATATATGTGATATGACTACCATAGGAGACACTGGGGCAATACCATCATCAACCACTGTGATATTTTTTTTTAGCAAGATGTATGAATGTTCACACTAAATGGGGTAAATAGAGACTACACATGGCCCCGTCTGGGTTCAGGTTGTATTTTGCCACCACATTTGTTTTTGAACCAAAATTTAAGAAAGAGAGTTTTGATTTTCAGAACTTTCTGGGTTTCAGAATTGCCGATAAGAGATTATGGATCTGTCTTTGTGAATAAATTACATCATTTTCTAAAACATGAAAGTAATCATGCAGAAAACAAATTAGATCACGGCATGGTCAGAATGACCAAAGTAACTCCACCATCTTTGAGTTTATTTTACTGCTTGGGTACGATCTCTTGATAGTTTCTGACCTGCACATGGGGCCAGGTAAATATGTTTGTGGAAGAAAAGCCAAATCCAATGACTTTTGCCTGTGCATGTGAAAATAGAGGTAGACCCTGGTCCTGCTCATCCTTGAAGGTGAGAGTCAATTTTGCACACAGAGCTCACTCTCTTGGTAGTTAAGAAGGTGGCTGTGAGGTGACTGGGCAGTGCATTCACTGGCATCAAACAATTTGAGATAATATGTAATTTGGTTCTATATTTTTAAAGTGAAATTCATCTCAAGATTCAAAATTTTTTAATAAAAATAAAAATAAATAAAATGAAATTAATTATTTGTAATTGTCTTATTAAATACCTTTTTAGTTCTTAGTCTGGTTATCAATGATATTTTAATTTGGCAGCAATGCAAGTGGTTTAAAAGGGCACAACCAGCCTCCCAAGTGTGATGGCAGACATACCAGATGTTTTATAGTCTGTGAACTTATGACATAAGAGCAGTTAAGCTGGATTAATTACACTTTAGGGGATCATGTTGAGTTATTTATAAATGTTTTCAAACGTTCTGTAAAATGACAAATGAGCGAGTATTTTCTTACTTCAGAACATGTTGGAAGGGTTTTGTCAGGTTTTTGGTTTATAACCTTTGGAACATGCTTTTATTTTGTGTAATTAGAATGAAAATGTGAAGTAATTGATCATAAAAGTTATACTCGTGGCATATTTGTGGGCTTTCTATGTTATATTGCTAACTATTTAAAAGAAGACATTATAGATATAAGAAAGTAATGTTTTACATTTACATTGTATATTTCCCCAAGAGTATTAATAAAATCTCAGTTGAGTGTTCTGTGGGGAAGAGGTAGATTTAAATGTAGAATCTGAAGCCAGAGCCATTTGACTCATACAATTCATATATCTTTGTAACTTTTATGTCATCCAGGTCCTTCTATGAAACACTGTTTTTTATTCCCAGTATGTCAGCCCAACAGTTACTAACTTTTAAAAATTTCTGGTTCACTCCCATGGGCTTACTTGGGTTTTATGCTCTGGCTTAGATAAGATGAGTGGTGGGATAAGAGCCACTTCTGATGGACTAGAGACCATATCCCTTTTGCATTCACTCAGGGAAACTTAATAGACTATCAGTGAGGATGACATGTGCTGTGGATGTTACTTTGAATCCACCCTATTAAAGTCATTTACAGATATTGATCATTTATTATTATAACGCCCTTTGATTAGTATTAATAACCTTGTAGTTCACATTGGGCATGGTTAAAATAACTACTAAGAACGAAATATAATAATAGCGACAGTGTTTATCCAGCACTTAGTAAGTACTTAGGCGTGTGTTAAGTACTTTACATGTCTGAACTTGTTTAATCCTCATAACCACACAATAAGGAAAGCGTAATAATAATCCACTTTTGCAGATGAGGAAACTCTGCAAGGGTGTCTGGAGATTAGTTTATCCAAAGTCCCAAGAAATGAAGTGTTCTGATTAAACTATGTTTTATTGCTTTCAATTCTATGTTACCTACAAATACAGTAACATCTCAACTCTCTGGGACTCAACTTTGAGAAACCTATCTATTTGGAACAAAGCTGAGAAGATGGAAGCAACCAAAAACACTTCTGTGATTCAGATAGAAGCAGAGCTCTGTACGAGAGTATGCAAGTTC